TTATAGTAGAGAAAAGAAGTGCTAAATACAAAATAAAATGTGACCAAAAAGCTCATCAGAGGAGATGTAGAACACTCACAAATACAAGTGAACAGTTTGAACAATCTTTTTATCAACAGAGTACTAAAAACAACACGACTGTGACTGGAAAACTCAACGGACAAAAACAAAAGAGTTTCTAAACAACCAAGGGCAACATGAAACCAAGAAATATGTAACAAGTGGAAAATATGGACATGAAGGACTATAATACGAAACAAAATAAGTAAGGAGAAGAGGGAAAATACAAATTTGTCAAATAAATATTTTTATATAATTATAGCAAAGATAATTGGTTATAGTGGAAATCAATTAATAAACATGCTAAATAATCTCTTAAGGCCTCAGAGATATGGTTACACAGAAAAATACCTAAAATTCCTTGGAGAGTCAGAATGACTGATCCAAATGTTATGTTGTGTCATGTTATTACAATCTATATCTTTGCACACTGGGCATCAAAATGTGTGCTCAGTCCACCGATGCAGCAGCCATTCCAAGGTACCTCTACTGATAGTTCCCATGAGGAGTTGGTTATGGGATCTCGAAAACAACATAGACGTGCTTCACCAAGCTTAACTCCTTGGTCACACAGTCATGTTAGCATCAGAGATTCACCATTGTCCCTCAACCTAGTCTGTACAACGTTGATGATATCAGCTCTCTCCATGCTTCTTCCCATTTGCAACAGTGCCTTACCTGCCAGCTGGTCAGCTCTTTCATTACCATGTATTCCTGCATTCTTAGGTGTGTAGATCCAGATGATGGAAGTAAACTGTCACTTTCAAAAGCTTTCTACCTATTCGGAGTGTAGGCTCCCTGTAGAAATTTTCTGAAGCATGTTGATAGAGTCTGAAATGATTAAGGCATGTGTGGTTGCTTGTTCTGCTACCCATGTGAGTGCTCTGGAAGCAGCAGTAATCTCCATGGTTATGCTTGACACAGTTGCCTAGTAAGCACCGTTAACCTCTTTTATTGTTTACCCCCATCCTATGTGCTGTCTATGCCCATGCTGATCTTGATTCGCATTTCACAAATCCATCTGTGTAAATGATGACATCTTTTGGATGCGAATGCTGATCAGTCAGTGCAATAATCTCAGGGTCTATGGTGGTGGGTATCTGACTCATGCAGTACCTCCCTAATGTTAGGACAACCTTAGACAAGTCATGCATGTCTACTGGTGTATCTCATCTAGGTCACATACTTTGCTTGATTAGATTTTCTGCCCCAGACATCCAAGATGAGCCTCTTTTGAGATGCATCCCTCTAATATCTTTGACAGCATTGTGCAGTGGGTGGTTGATATCTGCTAATATTTTTATGTACGCTTTCACCTGTACCACTTTATGTCTGGTAGCCATGGTCGATAAAGCCAGGACATTTGGCATGGCATGGTACGAGGTGTCTTTTGTGCAGCCGTGTACGTGTCTCATGGTCTCATTTTGTACCCAGTCCAGTCTTTCCAGCTGGGTTCTCCTGACAGTGAGGAGGACCGGACCGTAGTCTATAACACTTAATACAAGTCCCTGGTAAAGCAGGAAAAGTAGTCGTTGTTCAGTGTGGGCATATGCCCTTGCCTTCAGTACCATCAGACCTTTCCTGGCATGATTCTTTTATGACAAGCATCTGTCAAAAATTATGCCAAGGTATCTCATTGTGTTCATTCTATCGATCTCTATTCCACACATGATCACGGCTGGCATAGGTATATTGACAATGTGGGTATTCAAGGAGAACCATGTTAAGGAAGCCTTTGCCTAGTTTACCTGTGCGCTTACCTAAAGGACAGACCTTCAGACATTTGGAGTCAGCAGCTCAAAAAAGAAAGCCATCACAGAGAAGATGGAGGTGGGGATATCTGCAGCAATGAATCTCAAAGGGTCAGAATGCTAAGAAGAAGAAGGGAGTAGGATTTCAATATAGAGACATTTGGATCCCTGGTGGTGCTATAGAGATAATGGTTTGTGTTGAGGTTCTTGTTGGGTGATCTATGGGAGGAGACTGAGTACTTGTGAAGAAATTCATGTGCAGTTACAGTAAAAACTTCATTACAAGCTGCTCTTACTGACAGTATTTGCCACTTTAGCGGTAAGGACAGGGGGGATGAGAGGGTGTGTGTGTCTTTGAGCCTTAGGATTTAGTGCTGTTGCCAGCCAGGGACTGTGCAGTCTAGGATTTTATTTTTCCCTGCCGCCCAGTAATTTCCAGCTGAACCAAGGGTTCAAACCCAGATCTCCAACAACAGAGCCCTGCAGTCTCACCATTCAGCCAGCAGCTCTTTAAAAGTTACAGTAATTAACCAAAGATTACAGCTCATAACTGTTCGGCCAGCCGCTCTTACAAAATTACAGTAAGTAACCAAAGATTAAAACCAAAAAACCATAATCAACTTACCATCAGTGGTGGCTGTTTGTGTAACAGATTCAGGCCCACAGCCGACTTCAGTACATGCTGCGACCTGATAATGGAAAATAAGGATAACTGTTATTGTGACTTATTTGTACCTGCAAACACAATTATGAGTATATGGCTAGACTAACAAGTTTGATATCATCATCGTCACCATCATCATAACTTCCATAATCATCATTATCAACAGGATAATTTGTTAGAAGACTGTTACAGAAGTCACCTTACAGTGTCTCTCCACTACTGTACAGAAAGAATGTGAAAGACAGGACAAAGAATCTCACTATTACATAAAGAATCAGATAAATGAGAATTTAAAACTTTTTTTGTAGGTTGATTGAGGTATATGGGCTTTGTCCCATCTCCTGACATGAAAACAAAATAGACAGACAAAAAGACAGAGAAAAAGACAGACAAAGAATGCTGATAGTTTCAACTGAAGCATACTGACCTGAAAGTAGTAGATCTTAGACTCTTCTAAAGGAGTAAGAATAAAATGTCGAGCGGTGCCGTTGAGCCTGACAATAATCTTTGATTCACCCTCCTTCCAGTGGGTCACCAAGTGATGAGTGATTATTCCATTAGGATGCTTGGGTGTCATCCAACGGAAGTCTGCTGCAAGTGTCTGGTGTGAGGCCGAAACATTCTTGTGCTGTATAACGTAGACCTCAGGAGACAAAGGGGCTGTGGGCTCTGTTACCAGAAAATAAAAAATAACAAACTGTGTTCATGAAATTCCAGACTCCAAAAATTTATCTATGAGGTGACCCATCAGTTTCCATACATAGAAAAAAATAAATGTGTGTCAATGGTTAGATCAACATCGTCCGTGGCTTAGGCGTTGCGAGTCCGATGTACTGCGATCAAAACCCACTGCTGGCTGCATGGATTTTTATCATGGTATGGGGCATCGCAGGTGGACCCAGACTAAAATGGGTACCAGGATGTATGTCCTGAGGAAGTAAAGACGGCCGTCATAATGCTGACCACATTACCCACCTAGTGCCGATTGGTCTGTAAAAATATGGGTGCTATTCCCATATGCCCGATGTACCTAAAAGGCGTGAAATAAGATCTTTACTTTACTTACTTACAGTGGTTAGATCAGCAGTGTCCAGAGACTTGGATAGGTCAGCGTGGTCCTGTGGAGTGATCTCTGATTGCAAGCAACCACTGACATAGTACATATATGTTTCTTATTAATGGAAACTTTGGGACATCCGTTATTATTAAAGCATTCATTTAACATATTCTAAGTAAGACCACATCACAAATGACAAGGTTCCCTGTATAATTATCCAACACATTGGCAACTACAAATCAAAAACAATACTACAGGGCTCAGTAGTGGGTAAGATGGGGTAAGGCAGACCAAGACAGACCTGGCTACAGAACTTGACTGACTGGTCAGGCATTAGGCAGGCAACCATGATGTCCTTTTTCATCTGACCGTCAAAGGTGGAGCGAGCTGATCAGACTGTCAACAGCAACCGGTAACCCAACAACACGTATGTTACGGGAAGGTGATGAGGATGATAAAGTGATATTTTTTGGGGGTAAGAATTATAGGTTAAAGACATGAAACTCATTCATGCTGGACGTTAGATTGCTGGGTAACCACAAGGTGCCCTTATATAACAGTTTTAAAGATTCGCACCGAAACCTGCCTGAACCCTCCGGATCATACTCATTGAATCACTGAGTATGCATATTTTTGTGTTTTGAGCCAGGCAAATGCTTGTGTCACTGCCATCACCTCCATCGTCATGATGCTGGTTGTTATGGAGAAGGCGCCCTTGGCTTCTTTGACTGTTCTGCTCGCTGAGTGTGCTTTTTTGGCATATAACAGATCCGTCTGTGTAGATTAGTGCATCTGCTTTGTCTGAATTTTCACTGATGGTTAAAAACATGAAACTCATTCATGCTGGACCTTCGATTGCTGGGTAACCACACGGTGCCCTTATTTAACAGTTTTAAAGATGTGAAGATTTTAAAACAGTTTTTATTTTCTCCTGCTTGATTGGCAACAGATCAAATGGCATGTAACAAGACTGACATCAGACAGGGCACCACAGAGAGCAATGCTATACAGAAACAGCGGTAACAATCTGGGCCCACCATGCAGAAAATGGACCACAGAAATATTAAAGACACTGAACAGTATTATACACAAAGTGAACAGAAGGACCTTTTCCAGAGATCTCTTCCTGCCTTGATGCTGTGAGGCATACCAGGAGTAAACAAAAGAAGAAGAAGAAGAGAATTTGTATCTTAGTAGCAGCTCTTCAAGTCACTGGTCTTTAGTCCTTTAGGTAACAATCCAAGAATGGAGTTTAAAACAAAAAATCATTCAGAATCAAGCAACTCCCCATGTGTTTGTGGGCTTCTTCGCTCATTATACATTTTTTACACCTTGTGCCACATTCATTTGTTACATCAACCTACACTGTTTACTTTGTTAGTTTAACTGTCTGGTTAACTTAAGTCAGTAACTCCTAATAACATGTTAACTTATTTAGGCTAACCAAACGTTGTAACTCAAAACAAACCAGATGTTGGTGTTCGAAGAGAAATTGTTGTTGCTTCAGCATATCCCCAGTATGTTAATGGCTGGATGGATACCACAAGCTGAGTGTATGGCAAAAATCCAGACACCTCAAAGAAATGGTCTTTGTTGTCTGGAAAATACGAGATAACGTAAAATTAGATAACAGCAAAACATATTTATATTTTTTTATGCAACTTTAGACATGCTGTTTTTGAACAGGTTACCATTGGCCTTATTGTAGAGATCGGTTGGTGTCAGATATCCAACGTGATCTGATATTCCAAGAGAATTAGGTCATAAACAGATCCTGGCCCGAAAGATGAGGTATTCTGGCCATGTTAAACATCCACTGGTCGGGAGAGAATGGTGACAGAGGGTAAAGTTTCTGGAAAACGGAGGCAAAGGCAGACCTCAGTGAAAGTCAAAAATAAAAAAAAAAAAGTAACAGACCCTTTTCCACACCTTTAGGCATTTAGGGCATATAGGGCTAGATGTATATTTTAATAGACCAATCGGCACAAGATGGGTGATGAGGTCAGCATCACACCAGCCACCTTTACTTCCCGGGACTGCACCTGGTATCCCCTCAAGGCTCGGGTCAACCTGGGAACCAAGGTTATTTTTGAAAAAATTCAGACTCTGCCAGGGAGCGAACCCATGACCTTCTGATCCACGGCGAGAGTCTAGCCCCTCTGCCACGGCGACTCCCTCAGTGAAAGTGGCTCCAAGATATTGCAGATGCATCAACAATTAACGCATATAGGGCTGGAGAAGTGGCTAGAGAAAGAAAGACTTTCAGGTGTGCCATGATAAGAGCAATGTTTCTGTAAAGGATCTGTGATTAAAATGATGTTGGTGTAACTGAGATGGGGAATGAGAGGTCACAGGTTATGAGAGTGCCAGTTACTTCCCTTTCTATGTTATCCGTCCTTTACACAGATGTTTTGTTTCATGTGTACTTTAACAGTCAGATGTACTGAAGCATTTGGATTTTACCAATAATTTGATGACACAGCAACAGAATTCCAACAATTCTGAGGTTTAATGAGGAATTTAACAAACACCACAATGTTTAAGGTAGGAACTATAATGTCTCAACCACTCCTGCTTAAAACACTAGCTTATTTGAGAAATAAATAATTTCAACATGTAGAGGTGTCAGTAAACAGATCTGGATACTCACCACATGTTTGCTGTTGTTTAATGCTTCAATGAACAATTTGTAAAAGACTACTCCATAAGTGACCTCTGTTTGTGGCAGCCAGGTGAGGTTGAACTTTGACCAAACACCTTCGATGCGTAAATCAGAAGACTCAATGGAGGCAGGAATCACCTTCACCTTGCTTGCGGACATGTTGGCTAAAAGTAAATAAATAATAGACATTGACAACAATTTTTTTTTAATGCAACCAGAATATATGTTTCAAATAATAAATGAATTTATAACTTGCATTCTTATAATTAGTTCACATAAAATAAAGAATATATCCATCAAGTGTGTTTGTGTGCCTTTGTGTGTGTGCTTCTGTGCACGTGTGTGGGTTTGTGTGGATGTGTGTGTATGGGTGTGTGTGTGTGTGTGTGTGACCTATCTACTCCTGCCCTTCAAATGGACCATGGGCCATGAACCAACTTGCACCAAACTGTTCTATCTTCTGTTATTGCATACATTGAAACAATTTTTTTTTATTGTGGAAAAACTGTATTTACAAATGCATTGTGTGGCTTTACTGGTTTCTGTCTTTACAGAGTGTTGCAGTTTGTTTGTGTCATGTGCAAAATGATTCGAAATATATACAAAACATATATAAATGATAGCGGTGATGATGATGAGGGTGGTGGTGAAGATGATGAGAGCTCTCTCTTTCATTCTTTCTTTATGTAGTAAATATTCTCTCTCTGTCTCTTTCTCTCTCTCTCTCTTTCTCTCTCTCTCTCTCTCTCTCTGGCCAGTTGTTAGCAGCATGCTTTCAGAATCTCCTCTCATATAATGAGTCCCACTGAAGACATGAGTGGACAAACATAAGTGTAGGCCGGTACAAATCACCCTGCTACAGGTGAACCTTTGTTTTCACCACGTTTTAAAAAAACTCTCAGTCTCATTTTACCTTCTTTACTTCATGGATTGACTGATCCATCAATTTGCCTCCTCCTGGCAGCTACATAAAGGTTCACCATACTATCACGAGATTTAAAATGCAAAAATAAAAATCTCAATTATGATGGCAGACCAACAATGTAGACCATGTATATCCTGTTCTGCTTCCATAGAAATTATAACTAGGTCACCCATAATGGCCATACCATCCAGGTGTAACCTGCAGGCATATGCCAATAGGGATGTACTCCCCAGATCATGTCCTGTTTGCCATTATTTTAGGCTGAGTTCAATTAAGAGCAAGTGGAAAAAAATGACACAGATCTGAACCTATGACCAGTGAGTCAGCAGGTATATCTGCTAACCACTGCACTACCATGGCTTCCAACTCATGTATGTATTAATGAATCATTCTTCTCATCCACAAGAAATTTTTGTAAACAGGAAGACAACTCTAGAAACATAAATTTAACTGGAACAATAACCTTACCTTGCTTTTAACTATATGACAACCAACATATTTTGGAGCAATGTTTCATTAAAAAACATTTTATGATTGGATTAAAAGAAACATTTTTGAAGCTTCTTTCTCTAATGTCTTCATTTTAAATTACATCTTTCCTTGTTACCCCATCAACTCATTCAGGATATCTCATCTCTTACCACACTCACTACAAAAAAAAAATGACGTAATGATCTTGTTTGTCACACATTAACAACCACCACTGTTGACACACACACCACACTTTAACTTACAAGGAAAAGAATGCATCACTGGATGGGTCACTTTGAAACAGAGCAGATCTTCATCAGAGCTGATGACGGATGAGAAGTTGTTGTAGGAACTACCACTAGTCAGTGTATTCTGTTCTGTTTGCCAATAGAAGTTGTGTGAAAAGTGCTGCAGACTTGATATCCTGGGGGGACAAAATACAAACATGGAAAAATATAACAGTTGTATTGTTGAGTTTGATCAGTTTGCAAACATCACATGCATCAGTGCAATGACTGACCAACTTGAGGAGCAACAGGTTATCTTGAGAACCAGCTGGTTGAGTTGAAGAATGGCTGGCTGAGTTGAAAAATGGCTGGCTGAGTTGAAAAATGGCTGGCTGAGTTGAAGAATGGCTGGCTGAGTTGAAGAATGGCTGGCTGAGTTGAAAAATGGCTGGCTGAGTTGAAAAATGGCTGGCTGAGTTGAAGAATGGCTGGCTGAGTTGAAGAATGGCTGGCTGAGTTGAAAAATGGCTAGCCAAGTTTGATAGCTGGCAGAGTTGGTAGTCACGCAGAAGATTCAGGTTTAATCCTGAGTTAAAGTTAGTTGCGTTTCCATTACAGGACGTTGCAGAACCAAAACCAACAGCCCCTGGCCGTTGTGTGGTTTTTCTAGGCAAATTTACATCCAGTAGTTTGCCATTGCTTTCTGGACGGTCGGCTTTCTTGATACCACTGTCGAAACCAACACAAGGTGCATGGCCCACAACTGGGATCGAACCTGGCATGCAGGCATTACGAAGCGTTCGCATCGACTTAGCCACAGAGCCGACTTAATCCTGAGTAAAGGATGCAAATTTGTTTGTGTTGAGGATAAAAATACAAATCCAGTCCTGCACGGTCCATCATGACTTTACTGGCCAATGTCGGCTTCAGTCATCAGGTTGACCAACTCCTTGTTTTATACCAGTGATCTTCAGGCGGTGGAATGTGGCTCATCAATGGGTCACAGAAAAGTCCAGGTGGGCCGCAACAATTTGTGCCTAATTATTTAAGGGGTGGGGTAGTTAGTTTCTCTCACCTACAAATGCTATCTATGTGACTTAACAACTCAACTCAAGGATGAGAATCAGACAGGTACAAATCCCAAAAACATTGTTTGACCACATAAAACAGGAATATTATGGCAACCGATGGTTACGTGACCTTTGGGCTAGGAATATGGACAAAAACTGATGTAGCAGCTTTTTGATTCTGCCAAAGCAAGTGTGGTATTGTGTGCATCAGTTTTGTTTGTATTTTATTAGTTGTCACTGGTGGCAGTTGGTGTATTCTTTGCTCTCCAAAATGGAGCACCCTGAACCCACATGGGGATAGCCTCTTTGAAAGAAAGACACATCTGATTTTCATATTAGTTACATTTCCCCATGTTGGTTCCAGAGACCCATTGCAGGGAAAACAAGAATAGACCTACTGTCTCCCCAACAAGCATGCCATAGGAGTCGACTAACTGGAGGTTTCCTTCAAAGTCGGAGGGCATCTGTCTGAGGGGCAAAGAATCTGCATACAAATAAGTAAGATCTGTAAAACAGATTGTGCACGCAATGCTCCGGTTCTGAAACACGTCTAAATTCCAGAGGTGGATGAACAACCAGAACTTTTCACCTGATTTTACAGCCGGTGAATGCGAGTGACAAGAAAATATTAGTTATTTCCCTTGGAGTTATTGCTAAAACATTCTGGCCCCCAAGGAGCGAATTCTCTACCATGCAACACATCGTATAATCCTTTGATTCCCCATTTGTTCATTAGTATTATTAGTTCAACTTCTTTAGTCTCAAACATCAACTATTTTAAACAAAAACATTAGGGCCAGAAATTGTTTTAAAAAAAACAATTTCTTGCTGGCATTAAAAGAAATCTTGGGCAGGAAAGTGCACATTGTGAGAGATCTGGTGAGAGAACGAGTTTCTTATGGGCAGACTGTAATGATGTTCTGCAAAGGACCTGCTACATGATGATAATGATGATTAAGAGAAATGATGTTGCTGACTGATCATTCTACACTTTCTGAGTGGTATATATGTTGACCTGTGCCATCCTTCATTCCCAGTTGCCAGTTTGTAAAATCAATTACAGATCACTATAGTAACATTATTACATACATGTCTACACTCTCCAGTTGTCTAACTTCTCTGGGTGTGGTTTGTAAAGGACCATCATAGTTTGCTGGAAGTAAGTCAAGCATGAAGATCTTGTAGCTGCTTCGGTAACTTGTCTCGCACCAAAGTACCTAGAAAACATATGAAATTCATAAATTTTGTTTTACAGTTCAGGAGCCTTTTCACTTCTTGAGGTATGTCAGGCATATAATGCTAGGTGAGTTTTTTGGGGTAATATAAACAAACTGGTTTTAAGGTCTTTCAGTTAGTATTGTGGTTAACAGCCGCTTTACTACCCAGGATATGTCCTGGTAACCATTGTAGGTTGAATGGTCCGGGGAGCCTTGATTAATTTTTTTTAAATCTTCCTTGGAGTGGATTTGAACCAATGGCTATTAGGCTAACAGGCAACTAAAAGTATTGCCAAGGTAATTGTCATCATAAATGTTCCAGATGTTTCTAGAGTTAAAATTTATTATAACCAGGTAATGGTGGAGGTAGTTCTGTGGCAAATACAAACAGGCATGAAGTATTCTGGTTTAACATATTCCAGGTCACAGCATTTTGAAGTATGCTAACATTGTCTCTTTCATTTTACTGATTCTTCCTCTAACTGTACTGGACAGCTTTGAGAAATACCATCTGATCTCAAAACTCCACAAAGGGAGAAACCCTAACTGTACCTGTACATGGTAAGGGATAGTAAACACACTGAGGTGTGGCCAATACAGCCATGAGATAGTAAACACCCTGCCGTGTGGCCAATACAGCCATGGGAACTGAGTATCCATCAAGATGAAAATACACCTTCCACTGGGTTGCCCTCTGCTAATAGCAGGAGTTTCACAGAACAGGGCACTCCCTGGCCCTGGCAATCTAAAAGGGGCCAGAAGCTGAGGACATCATCTAAAGCCATGTGGACGTGGAAAGCAAGGGGAAACTACAACTTTATGATCCCAAGAAACCTATAATGGAAGCCAAAAATCAAATTTGCAATATTCTGGCCATATCAAACACAATGGCAAATTGGAAAATAAAAAAAAGAAAAAAGAAAATGGCTTGGTGCGAGGAAGAAGAGGCAGGGGCCAACCAGCACAAAAATGGATACAGGATTTAAGAGACAAAGGTTGGTATGAAAGTGCATGAGGAGGAAGAGCTGACAAGAGATAGTTTCTTTCAAGCAGACTGAGATAAGAGGGAAGTTCTGCAAAGGAGCTGCTACATGATGATGAAGATTCTTCTCAGATCATTCCCTCCAAAAAGTTCAGTTACCATTTTATGAGCCTGTATCTCTCATTGATCTGTACTAGCTGGCAAAAATAAGCCTACTGCTGGGGATTATACCTGAATCATTGTTTTCATATGCAAATACGCAAATGTGTATGCCACCAAGTTCTTAAACCTTTTATGTCCTAGGTACATCATAGTTAGGACTGATACTTTCCCTCATTTTGCATTTTTATAATATTTTTTTTTGCTTTTATATTTAGTTAGTGCAAAGTATTTCAATGCAAATTTTTTTCTCTTAAATTTGCTTCAACATCTGTGGTATCCAGTAGATTATATAGTAATTTTTTAATGGACAGAAAATTGTGCCTCTTAGACAAAGAAGTAACTGAACATATTGTAGACTATTGATTGTAAATAAAATAAAATAAAAATACACACTGTTAGCAATGAGAAATGCTTAAGACTAGGCTTCTGAATCACAAAAACCCACTTGCCTTTCCAGAATCCAGGTCCAAGGTCAAACTGACGATTTTTCTATCACTGAAGATTTGAGGACTAAACATTTCAAGACGTTCATTTCCATTCAGATAACTTGTTTCTATAGATAACTCAGTTGCCCAGTACAACCTGCCACTGACTGCATCTATGGCAATATCAATGGCTTTTGTCTGGCAGATGAAGTCATGTCTGCCATCTTCAAGATTTGAGCGATGAATCTGCAATAAATAAGAAGTAAACATGAAAAAAGATACCTATTTTTATGCGACTAATGTCGTGTGATTTATATATATATAAACAGATGAATTAAGAACCCGTTGTTTCATCTTGAGGTATATTGGCTAAATATCGCCAGTCACAACTTTTTTTTCTTGGAAAACAAAAGTACCAGTACTCAACACAAAGTGTCTAAAAAAGTGCCAGTACTCACCAAAAAGTGTTCATCACAGTAACACTAAAAATGCATGCATACTGCCAGAAAATAGGAGAAAAAGAAACCTGACACTAGCAACATATTTTCTATAGAGCAACAGACACTGCACTCGACAAGTGAAATGGTTAATATATCCTTCAGACTACCTCTATTTCCTAAACCATTTCCTGGTACCAATTTTAGGCTGATTGAACCTAGTTGCCTCAGTAAATTTAAAAAATGATCTGGCTCCAAGAAACACACAAACTACTGCACTGGCATGAGGATTACCTCAAGAAAGTATGGCTGAAGCCCCTGGGGAACTGCAGTGCCTCACGAAGTTACAGTTGAAACAGTCTGTTTCAAGGGCTCATGACACATCATGGCAATATTTTGTTTTGGTTTTTAAATCAGAAAACTTGAGGAAAATATTAACTCTCTCAGTGCCAAACAATACACCATGTTTTGCATATTTATACATCCTAAGTTTAGTTAGGTAAACTTAATCAGTCCAACAACACAGGTCACCCACAATAGGCTATGTATTTTGACTCAGTGGATGCAGTATGCCTGTTTTTATTGTTATCATTATTGCTTCAGTCAGGCATCAGTTATGCAATTCTGGGACTGAAATCCTGAAGTATATCAGGTTTTTCTTCTAGAAAAAAAAAAGGTTCTGGTATTCACTACAAATTAGTAGGGTTGAAAAAAAAAAGTGATGCCTAAAAAAAAAAAAAAAGCCAAAGTATATAACTTGTGGGAGCCACCGTGGTGTAGCAGCTAGGTTAGATGCTCGCCTACGGATTAGAGGGTCACGGGTTCAGGTCCTCACGGAGCCAAACTTTCAACCCCCCTCCCCCTCCAACAAAAAAAATTAACTTGGCTTCCAGGTTCACCAAGCCTTAAACAGGTACCAGAAACAGTCATGGGAAGTAAAGGCAGCCGGGTGATGCTGACCACATCACACAATGAATGCCATTTGGCATATCAAATATAGATCGAGCCCTGTATGCCCAATACACCTTATGAAGTGGTAAAAGATCGTTTACTTTTACTTTTCTTTTGCCTGTAAATAAAAGTAAGTAAAATAAAGGACCCATTTCTTGCTACTGGACATTTGGTGCTAAACCCTATTTTGATATACCAACTGATGCCTGCTGCCTAACGAGGTCAATACTACACTTGGCACTGTTGCCTGCCAGAAACCCTAAACCTTTGGGCTAAGAGACAAGCATTATGAAGAGTGAAACAGGCTAGAAAGACTTGTATAACAGGCCCTCTACATATAAACAATGTTTCCTGCACTCATTCCTTGATCCTTTTGGCCTATAGGGGTTTATAAGTAATCTCCGGACTTACAGACAATCAACTACAGCTTCATGATGGATGCAAGAAAGAGTGATCATCATCACTTGTGATGGAGGAACAACAACAACAGCCAACCTTTACTGTGGAGCTGGCACCTGACTGACTGATTGATACAAGAGTATGAGGGTACCCACAATGCCTGGCAGCAAGAGCATAAAGATGTTGATGACAGAAAACTTTGTAAAATGTGAGTACTGAATATTGAATTAAGAGTCAACATTACAGCATTCGGGACACTCCTATAAATGCTGCATCACCAGTCTTCAGCAGTTAATTCGCTATTTAGAAGTCATCCCCAAGTGGGATGCAATTTTTTGTTATTTGAAGCCCTACCCTGGCTTTCGCCAGGGGCCCTGAATATAGCTGGGGCATAAATATGGCCTAACGGCTGAGAGGGGTTTCTGGGACCTCTCCACGGGTGATCCTCATCCGCATGGTGGCACTTTGTGTCACCGGGTATTTATCACCTGTGTGATGTCCTGGTGGGATACAACTACCTACCTACCATCTTCAGCAGCAAGCAAAGGTTTCTAATTCTGAAGGGACCAGCAACTGTCTGATTGTTTATCCATCTCGCCTTTCCCATGGATGGTAAACATTGACCAGATACCCTGGTAACTCTTTGCTGCACCATTCTCCTCAGACCATAATGATCTATTTGTGCTTCCACACTGTTCACCCTCTCCCAAAGGGTATTTACAACATCTAGCTTGTCATACATCAGTTAACCGCCAAGTGAACATGACAGCTGACAGTACTCACAGTTTTATCATTGGACCAGTACACCTTATGTCCCAGCCAGTCATAAGCCAGGCAGGAAGCCGCATGTACTTCTGTCAGCTCATGGCTCTGCTGGGTGGTTCTGTTGTACATGAAGAGAACTTCGGAGTCACTGAGCCATAGGATCATGTCGCCATGCCAGTCTATCTCTGTGGAGTTAATAAGAATGTATGATATATGATTATATGTGTATGTAACATGATTGTGTGTGTGTGTGTGTGTGTGTATGTTACATGATTGTGTGTGTATGTAACATGACTGTGAATGTGTGTAGCATGATTGTGTGTATATGTAACATGATTATATGCATATGTAACATGCTTGTGTGTGTGTATGTAACATGATTCTATGTGTGTAATGTGACTGTATGTGTATGTAACATTGATTGTGTGTGTATGTAACATGACTGTGAATATGTGTAGCAAGATTGTGTGTGTATGTAACATGACTCTATGTGTGTGTAACATGATTGTATGTGTATGTAACATGATTGTGTGTGTATGTAACATGCCTACATGTATATGTAACATGGCTGTATGTGTATGTAACATGTTTGTGCATGTTTATGTAACATGACTGTATGTATAACATGCTTGTTTGTGTTTGTGTAACATGACTGTATGTGTATGTAACATGATTGTATGACTATGTAACATGATTGTGTGTGTAACATGATTGTACAATATGTAACATGAAAATATTGTGTGTAACAAAGCTATTTTAGTGTTCATATTCACATGCTTGCATTCCAATATTTTGCCATCTGTCCTTAAACTTGACTGGTTTTACTGACTCCTTGTTGTATTTCTTGATTCATTCTTCTATTTTCTGACACAAATACTCCCAAGCAAGTGCAAAGTTCTCTGCCTGCTTTGACAGATAGTTATCAGTTTTGATGTTGGTGACTCTTTCATTTCTGAAGAATGTCATCACTTCTGTTTATACATAGATTACATGCACTGTTTCATTAAACATATTTAACACTAGTAAGTCTAAGCTTCAATCTGCAGTATACCATCTTTAGATGATATGAAATATAAAGTTAAACTACATTTTCATATAAAGATACTTACTGCTTAACCAGTTTTATACTTACTTGTAGCATCCAAATCCAATTCAGCTAGAGAAATTTCTGTTCCATCGATATTCTTTTCCAAAATTTTACCACCATAACGGCTCATAAGTATAATGACATCATCTGGCAATATAATTAATTGTTTATTTAATTAGCTTGTTAGCAATGTTAATGCCTTAATGACATACTGCACTTGAGACATTCCCATCAAAAACAGACATACTGCACTTGAGACATTCTCATCAAAAGCTGACATACTGCACTTGAGACATTCCCATAAAAAACTGATATACTGCACTTGAGACATTCCCATCAAAAACTGATATACTGCACTTAAGACATTCCCATCAGGAACTGATATTCTGGACTTGAGAAATTCCCATCAAAAACTGACATACTGCACTTGAGACATTCTCATCAAAAACTGACACACTGTACTTGAGACATTCCCACAAGTGCTCCATCTCCTTCTTCTATAGCAACAAAGAGTGGACATGCTAACAGTACCAGTTGCAATCTGATTAAAGGTGGACCAATGTTTTCAGTTAGCGTCTGTGGTTTAGGCGTTGGGAACAGGCTTCGTAATGCTGGGGTGCCAGGTTGGATCATAGCTGCGGGTCTTACACCTTGCGTTGGTTTCGACAGTAGTGTTGAGAAGCAGACCATTCAGAAAGCAATGGCAAACCACTGGATGTAAATTTGCCTAGAAAAACCGCAACAGTAAAAAAAATGCTGGGGTTGGTTCTGCAGTGTCCTGTAAAGGATACGCCGCTAACTTGACAATGTTTTCCCCTTAGTGATGAATTAGTTTCATTTTGGATATATTTTATCGAGTTTTCCTTGAGCACCATGGTGGTAAGTGGAAAAAATATTATTCTATTTTAATAATTTCTATAGACATGCTGTCTGTTTATTAACTATTCTTTAACTACTGACACAGTTATTTGTTGTAGCAGTATTCTAACATTATTCATCAACAATCGCTGATCACTTTGATGTATTAATATGTGTATGTTGCGTGGCAGCTGAATTAGAATGGTTTGTTTTAATGTGTAACACTTGAGAAATGAAAAAATTGCATTACCACCCATTGGGCCTCTGATGCAAAACCCCCTGGGACACAAAGAGTTAATGATTAGTTGGATGTTGGAGCTGAAGTTTTCTAGCAGGAGAAATGGACAGTCTCACAGCAAACTTTCTCAGGTTCCACTTCTGACATGCACAGTGAGTTATAGTGCTTCATTTCTTTATGGTCCTTTGAGACAAACAAGCAACTGTGATCCTGTTAACTCATTATTTTCTTGTAACGAACAGGCCACTTTGAACCCTTTAACTCATCATTTTCTTGTAAAAAACAAGCAACTATTAACTCACCATTTTATTCTCTTCCTCCAATAACCTCAGTAAAATGCTGGGGATCGGGGGTGGGGAGGGCATAGGTGGAGGGGGAGTTTAAGGACCATCTGTGTTTTTTCGGGGAGGGGGTTATATAAGAGTCATTTGTGTTCCCTTATGCATTGTATAAATTGGTTTTCATTACTTTTAATGCTGTTCTTATTGATGCCTTTATTCCATTTTGTGTGTGGGCAGCCCTTTGCTCTGTGTTCATTATATTTTTTAAAAGTTTAATGTTGAATTAATAATCAACATCACAGCACTTGGGACACCCCCATAAGCTCTCCGTCCCCATCTTCAGCAGCAAGTGAAGAGTTAAAATTTTGATAGTACCAGTAACTGCCTGATTGTATATCCGATTGTTTATATTTTTTAAAAATGTGGCTTTGTTTAAAAGTTAGTTCCAAGGCATTTTTGTCAGATGGCCAGGCCATCTCATCTGTTGCTGTTCAATCAATAGATGACTAGTTTTAGTCCTATAATCTGTTCCAAATGATGTGCCCTTAAACTTTAATAAATATCTCGAAAACTCCTGTATGTATCAACAGACATTTTTGCATGTAGTCTTAGATTTACATGTCCTTGTTAGTTTATAATTTGCAACTGAACCAGTACTACTCTTTTCTCAAAGAGGTGAATTTATGTGACCTTTATCGACTTATAATTTATGTACTCTAAAAAGAAATATACAGTAAAAGTCACAAACCATTTACTTAAAACCACAAGTGTAGAGATTGTTTTGGGAATCAATTCACATTTTAAGAAATGTAAAATGATAATTTTGACCTATCCTGCAAACAAAGAATAATTGTGTTAATCTAATTTACATGAGGCTTATGCAGGAGACTGATTACCTGAGAGTGAAAGTCCATGAACTGAGTTATAATTACGTAAATAAGTTTATGACAGTACATGATATACACAGTTCACTATTCAAAATAAGTGTGCCTTGGTTTATCACATGGAATACCTTTAAAACAGGTGCAATTTGATTTTTTACAAAGTTTGCCTCACTTCATTAACTGTAAACAGGCTAACTGTATGCTTTGAATTAGTGTATATTTTTTTCAGATACTGCAAATAAGACAAAACAAGCAAAATTATTTTTCCATAAGGATATGCTTATTGACAGATTGCATGCCAAATTTCAACAGTTTATAAGAAACGGTTACTGTATTTTAGAATTTTAAAGTTAGGCACAACTTTTGGAATGGACTATAGACACTGTTAACTCTAAGAACAACAAAGTACACTCTTTTGTAAACTGTAATGATACACACCATATTTCAATGTCCTTCCTATAAATTCTTCTGACCATGGACCAAATCCTGCCTCTGACCTTGCTCTAGCCTTGACCTTGTACACACTGTCAGGGGTGAGGTTAGTGAGGGTCAAGCTCAGTGCAGAAACATCATATTGTTGTAGTTCATCCAGTATGTCTCCCTCACCACTTGACTTAACCAGCTGTAGCTGGTAAGTCCAGTCTCTCCATGCACCTTGACCTGATGAATTTAAATATGGTCAAGTGAAATGGGAAAAGAAAGTGGAATCAGTGAGAATGTGATCTTTAATTACAAAATATTTTCCATCTAGAAAGACATCTTCCACCTTTCCATTTAGTCTCTATACGATTTAGTCTCCTTATGATAAAAGGATACTTTTTCATGCCTTTAGATGTATTGGGTATATAGGGCTAGACCTATATTTTGCAGACTAACTGGCATTCGATGGGTGATGTGCTTAACATCATGCCACCCACCTTTACTTTCCATAAATTTACCTGGTATCCATTTAAGGCTAGGTTGACATGAGTACCAAGGTCATTTTCTAAAAACAAACAAAAAGTCAGTCTTCATCAGGACCCACAACTTTCTGATCTTTCCGGCGAGTGTTTGGCCACTAAACCCCAGCAGTTGTCCCCTTCTTATACAGTGACTTAAAACTAAGAAGAGTAGTGAGTTATACAAAACAGGCATAATTAGGTTGATAGAGCAATCATTTGTTCACATAAATTAGTAAACTTTAGGGATACCTTGGTAATGTAGTAGTGGTGGAGGATTCCAACTGACCACTGCATGATCTCTAGAAAACACAGCATCAGTGATGTCCGGTGAGGTAGATGGTGCTGAAAATGTGAATATCGAGAAACAGTTTAGGCTAGAAGTGCAATGCTCAGGCTGCCCCCTCGTTCTCTTTCAAATAGTGAAAACATGTCACATATGGAGTTTTCAATAAATTCATAGTAAGTTGAATGGTATGTAACTAGTTAAGCCAGTATTACAGATCCCTGTGTGGGTACTAGGGCCCTATTAGGAGGTGGGGAAAAAGAATAGACCCACAGGGCTAGATTTAGGCTTGATGAGGCCAAAAACTACATAAAGTCTTGAGGCCCCTACAGTTTTAAATTACACCAGCTAATCTTAGCAAACTGTAAAATATACATGCCTTTTAAATATATGGATGATAGAAATGTACTGTTATTTAAGTTTTACTAACAGAAATAATCAAGAATGTGTCTGCAAAATCATTGAATGTATATCATATCATCTGCTTAATGGCACTATTAAAAGAAAATTGCATTTGTCAAACCAGTTGGAATTTGCTGAGGCCCTTGCAGATTGTAAAGCCCCCAAACTGCAGCTTATGAGTTGAGTTGAGTCAAGAATTGACATCACAGCACTCATGTGTGCTCTGTCCTCATCTTCAGCAGCCAGTGCAGAGTTCCAATACTGATGGTACCAGTCACAATCTGATATATGTCTGTCTTGCCTTTCTTCTGAGTGTAGTGAGCCGGACTGACCCTCTGGTTACACCAGAGTGGCTCATTCTCTCCAGGCCATAATAATCTTGTTTCTCTAATGATTACATTGCTTATTCGAAAAGGCCTTGGCCACATCTGCCTTGTCATGTATCAATTCACCACCCAGTGGTGCAGATCTAGCCAATCTGTCTGCCTCTTCATTACCCACTACGCCTGCATGGCCTGGAGAAAAGATGGACTGCAGCTTAGTCAGCCTATACCCAAGTCCAGCACTAGATCCACTGCCCTCTAAAAAGTATTTAATAAAAGTCGAATAATTATGTGTATGTCCTCAAATTCGGTGCATCTGTTGGAGAGGCAAGAAACCAACAGTCTGCCTACAAATAATCCAAATGTGTAAAAAGAATTTGCAGGCAAAATTCAGGTTCTGGAACAAGACTGACAGACAAAACTAGATGAGCAATCAGACTTTCTGGTGAACGCTAAGAAGAAAAAAGAAGAACAGAATTATCACGCACTTGCAGAAGTTATTGTGATTATACTGCTGATGAAGCTGCACAGACTGACATACCTGGCAATGGCTGGGCAACAGGGTGAAACAAACTCATGCCTGTATAAGGAGGCTTAAATAACATAAGTTCACTGTGCCGATATTTCTGCAACTGAGGCTCAAACTCCTCCATGTGCAGGCGCTGCTTGTCAGTCCAGATAAACGTCTGTTGAGATTATGAGAATGTTGAATGATTGGTTTGTGTAGTCAATCAATGACATTATGCCAATGAGTGGGTGTCGAAATGAGTGTGAGGTTTAGTTAGTTAATTAACCAGTTATCCTCATTGCACATAGGACATGTCCTTAAGAGTTCAGATTTCAATGTCATGCTCAATGCACACCTCAGCCTAGGGACACACCTAAGCCTAAGTTCACACCTCAGCGTACGGACACACCTCAGCCTAGGGACACACCTCAGCCTAGGGACACACCTCAGCCTAGGGACACACCTCAGCCTAGGGTCACACCTCAGCCTAGGGACACACCTCAGCCTAGGGACACGCCTCAGCCTAGGAACACACCTCAGCCTAGGGACACACCTCAGCCTAGGGACACACCTAGGGACACACCTCAGCCTAGCCTAGGGACACACCTCAGCCTAGGGACACACCTCAGCTAGGGACACACCTCAGCCTAGGGACACGCCTCAGCCTAGGAACACACCTCAGCCTAAGGACACACCTCAGCCTAGGGACACACCTCAGCCTAGGGACACACCTCAGCGTAGGGACACACCTCAGCCTAGAGACACACCTCAGCCTAGGGACACACCTCAGCGTAGGGTGATTGATAACATCAGCTCTGGTTTGGGTTACTGTCCTTCTTTGGTTTTGTGTTTGTGTATGTGTGTGTGTGTGTGTGTGTGTGTGTGTGTGTGTGTGTGTGTTTGTGTGTATGTGTGTGTGTTGATAGCTGCTCTAGGTGGGAAGCACTGCTCTTTTCATTTGGTAGTTTCTGCAAGATACTTTGTTTCAAACGTTTTAGTTTTACCTTTCCTTTGAAGTAAACAAAGCAATAGAGAAAGAGAGAGAGAGAGAGAGAGAGAGAGAGAGAGAGAGAGAGAGAGAGAGAGAGAGAGAGAGAGAGAGAGAGGGAGAGAGAGAGAGACACAGAGAGAGGAGGATCGTGATGCATGGACAAATCATGGTTTCTACAGTACTGCTCAGATCCAGCACTATGGAGAAAAGGAACTTTAGCTCTGGCCTGCTACCATCAAGGGCTTTGATTGTTATGTCTCCCTATAGTAAAATATTACATTTAAACAAAAAAGGAGAAAGGTACCAGCTACACACAGAAACACACACACAACACACACACAAACACACACACACACACACACACACACACACACACACACACATATATATATATATATATATATATATATATATATATATATATATATATATATATATATATATATATACACACCCACACACACAAACACACACACATATAAGTAAAGTTAAAGTAAAGGACCCTTTTCCATGCCAGCAGGTGTATTGGGTGTATAGGGCTAGACCTAAATTTTATAGACCAAACGAAACTTGATGGGGGATGTGGTCAGCATTACACAAGCCACCTATACTTCCCCAGACTGCACCTTGTACCCACTCAAGGCTGGGTCGACCTGGGAGCCAAGGTCATCTATGAAAAAAGTCCGGCCCTTGTCAAGACTTAAACCGACCTTCTGATCCCCAAGCTAGCGTCTAGTCATTAGACCACAGCAGCTCAAACATTTACACACGCATGTGCAGGCGCGCGCGCACACACACACACACACACACACACACACATACATATATAGTTAGTTAGTCGAGTTTTCAAATTCACTGCAGATAAGTCATTCATAACAGTTCTGTTTATGTGTCAGTAGAAATCTCTCTCTCTCTCTCTCTTCTCTCTCTCTGTCACACACACACACATACATACACATGCACACACACATGTGTGTACTGGGGCTGCTTTAGCGCAGTCAATTGGAGACTCGCTTTCAAATCCAGCTGCGACTCACTGGAGCCTACGGCTGTGTTCAAAACCAGACGGTTCCCGGGTTTCACCCTGGCTTTAGTTAATGGGTACCAGAGTTAATACTCTGGGGTAAATGGAGGAACGTCGCTGTAGCTACGGAGTTGCGTGTGGATGGCGACACAGGCGGACAGTTTTTTTTTTAATCAGCTGTCCGTACTTGGGGCAGAGCACTTATGGTTCATAACTGTGCAATGACGCTGGTTCACATCTACCTACTTTACCTTTTACATATGTATATGTGTGTCTTTGCTTTTTTGCTAACTGAACTTTGCATTAAGTTAAGAGGTGGTTATCTTCACGGCACTCTGGACATATCCATAGATGCTCAGATTCCACCTTCAGCGTATACATCAGCATCCCACAGTTATTAGTGCCAGACAAATGCTGGTTAAAACCTTACTTTTTGAACGTCTGGTGTGCATTGTGAGTCTTATTCTGCACCGCTCTAATCCATTTGCATAATTATATTTAAAAAAAACTGTAGCTTCATTCTATTTAATTCTACCTGATTCAAGACAACAATGCTGGAAACCTGGTCAAAAGAAGGACTTGCAATCTTCTCCTGTAAAGATTCAATTCTGAAACCATCAAGGGAGGCAACCATCATTGTTCCTGCAGTGCTGTTTACCAAATACAGTCGGACGTTATTGAAGTCAATCAAAACAGATGATATATCGCTTGTAGCAATGATCAGTTGTGGAGGTGCTGGCAACAAGGATGTCTGTACAGCCATTTGTGCGCCTGTTTGCCCAGTTGTTTCTAGCGGTACACGATAAAGCCCCTGTCCCTCTCCATTGAGGACATAGTAGAAGTAACTGTTGGAGAAAATAGAAAATACAAAAGTCACTGTCAGTTATTCCCGTTGGGGTTCTGGGACATATTTTTAGGGAATGGAAGGAAGGGAGGGAAAGGAAGGGATGGGATGGAAGGGGGAACAAACCTTCTGCCATTAAATAAACATGTTGTAAAACGTAAAACGGAACTCTAACACCACAGGTAGTCGAACACCTATTCAGGCAGTTACGTAAATAAAGATGGGGGAGCCGATAGAAATATACGAATACAAAAGACAAGAGGAGCTTTCATAGCACTGGGGTGTTTGTGGAGGTTAAAAGAAATTAAAACCAATATTAAACATAAAATCTTTAATTCCTATGTCAAATCAGTACTGCTGTATGTAGTAGAAATATACACAACAACTAAAATAGTTACTGACAAGTTGCAAATATTCATTAACCGGTACCTGCGTAGAATAAAGGGAATTAACTGGTTTGATAGAATCACTATGTAGAGTTTTGGGAGAGAACTAACTGACTTTCTACCCCACTAAGACATCACACAAGCGATAAACACCCGATGACACAAAGTGCCATCATGTGGATGAGGATCGCCGTGGAGAGGTCCCAGAAACCGCGTTAAGAAAATTGGCCATATTTCTATATGGCCTGCCTATATTGCGACCCCTGGCAAAAGCCAGGGTAGGGGCTTCAAATAACAAAAAATTTCGTCCTAAAAAGGACGAAACTGGATTTATGCTTTTTTGGGAGAGAACTAAACAAGTTCTGGTTGACCGAGAGGTGAAGAAAGACGCTTAATTGGACACACGTTTAGAATACCTGAAAACATTACAGCTAGAATGTATTTGCTCTAGAACCCACAGGGGTATTCAAGTAAAGGAGGACACTCCCACCCCCCACACGCACACACAATTAAGAACAGAGGGAAGCGATCTAGAGAGTGAGGCTAAAAAGATGGAAAGGACATGAGGAGAGCTGCATGCAATATAGTAGGATAGAACGACTTGACGAGTTAGCTGAGGGCCTCCACTGGAAGTTAGATGGCAGCCGAAGATGAAAAGGCGATCAATTAACAGTTTTCTGAAACCGAAGGTGTTGAGCTTCATGGCTTAGATTCGCAGCCTTGTAACCATAACACAATACCGGTTTACAGGCCAACACAAAAGATAAAGGATCCGTTACTTAGTTTTAACTTTGCAGCAGACGGGTGGCCCCCATAATGGCTCCATGCCCGTGATAGCTTCTTCTACTTAAGCGTTAGCGATTAAAAGGGTGGTTGGCACCTTACATTATGGATTACAGCTAGGCAGCGTGATCTGTCTGTTTTGGCCCACCACCTCTGGTTCCATTAAACTCCAAATTAGCGGCCCTTTTTAACATACTTGTTAGGGGAGGGAGATGGGGCGGCAGTGGGTATATTTAAGTCATCGCCACCCCACCCCCCCCCCCCCAACCTCTGAATCCTCCGGTAGATGTGTGTATCTTTTACAGATATCTACTTTCTTGGCTTCTTGTTTAAAATCTACAGGTTTTCTTTCATCAGCATGAGAACAATCTGTTTTTAACTGGATTAGGCTAAAAACAAAAACAACATCTGTTGTTTTCCACGTTGGAGGCGTTTGATTTCAATGACCTTTGTGGGAGGAAAGGAGAGGGCGAGGAAGCAAGATGTGACAGAAAATTTAAAAAAGGAACAAACAAAATGTGCGCAGTAAACGGATGAAGACGACAAAGGAGGAAAACAAAAATGAGGAAAAAAAAGGTGGGAAATAAGAACAAAAAGGAGGAGGAGGGGGAGGAGAAGAAGAAGAAGAAGAAGAAGAAGAAGAAGAAGAAGAAGAAGAAGAAGAAGAAAGAAGAAGAGAAGAAGAAGAAGAAGAAGAAGAAGAAGAAAGAAGAAAGAAGAAGAAGAAGAAGAAGAAGAAACAGAAGAAGAAGAACGAGAAGAAGAAGAAGAAGAAGAGAGAAGAAGAAAGACGAAGAAGAAAAGAAGAAGAAGAAAAAGAAGAAGAAGAAGAAGAAGAATAAGAAGAAGAAAAAAGAAGAAGAAGAAGAAAAAGAAGAAGAAGAAGAAGAAGAAACAGAATAAAAAGAAGAAGAAGAAGAAGAAGAAGAAGAAGAAGAAGAAGAAGAAGAAGAAGAAGAAGAAGAAGAAGAAGAAGAAGAAGAAGAAGAAGAAGAAGAAGAAGAAGAAGAAGAAGAAGAAGAAAAAGAAGAAAGAAGAAGAAGAAAAAGAAGAAGAAGAAGAAGAAGAAGAAGAAGAAAAAAAAACAGAAAAGTAAGATAATAGGGAGAAGGACAACGACGAGAAAGACGATAAAACAAATACAAAGACGATGTTAACGATGAAGGAGAAGGAAGCGGAGAAGCCTTAAAACACTTTAAATTTTGATTTAAAAAACCCACAGAAAAGTGCACATATAACTAGTCTAATCTGAGACTGTCACGGGTGTCTGGCCGGGATAAAAATTACTGGACATCTGGTAGGAAGTACATTAACTAATGAGCTGAGAATAGTAAACATGAACTAAACAGCACAAGCGGCAATGCTTTAGAGTACATATAGATGGAGTCTAATAATGAAACAAAAATCTTTCTCCATAATAATGTTATTATTCTCCATCTTTAAAGAATTTCAAAGGAAGGGAGAATAGTTCGGAAAATAGTATTGTTGCGTATCCTTTACAGGACGTTGCATAACCAACCGCAACAACCCCTGGCTGATTGATGTGTGGTTTCTCTAGGCAAGTTACATACAGTAGTTTTCCATTGCTTTCTGGACGGTCGGCTTTCTTTATACCACTGTTGAAACCAACGCATTACCCGCAGCTGGGATCGAACCTGGCATCCCGGCATTACGAAGCGAAAGGTTCGCATCGACTTAGCCACAGAGCCTACTTCGGAAAATAGACAGAAACAAAATGCCAACGAGCCATTGCACTTATATACCAGCTGACAGCGTTATTAAGACATCCAAAACAAGTTTCACTTAAGGAAACACTGGTAGTTCTGACAGGGAACACTTGGTTTTGCGTTGCACCTCGTCTATGGAAGTTTCCAGTAGGTAATAGTTGATTAGAACAGGTAGGCAGGTGAATGAGAAACGACGGGAGTAGTTGCCCGGGTAGATGACACGGGTAGATTTAGTGAACAGGCTTTTACCTGGCAAAACGAAGTAAGTACCCGGAGATGGTTACCTGGTTGTCATGTGTAAAAAAAGGTTGGGGGGAGGGGGGAAGATTGTAAATGTAGAAATAAGAGATGCTGATATGGACTTACA